GGAAATCGTACCTCCAAGGCCGACAAGCCCCCAGCCCCCGTGACTACTCCTGCCGATGTACAGTCCGTAGGGAGCCTTTGCTTGCAAGTATGTGCAGAAATGGGANAACAAGCCCCCAGCCCCCGTGAGTACTGCCGATGTACAGTCCGTAGGGAGCCTTTGCTTGCAAGTATGTGCAGAAATGGGAACATTTAACTAGAAGTGATGTCAGCTTAAGGGGGCCGAAACGGAGCTCTCTGGGCATTCAAATGTTTTGCACACAAAACAGGAAAAAAAACACGCTGTCTCTAAAACCCAGTGACTGGCAGGCAAACGGAAGCCCCTGAAACGGAAAACAGAGACCGTCTTCTCCCGGGAGTTACTAAGAAATGTCAGGCCCGGCTCTGAGCTAAGGGTGGGCTCGGGCTGCTCACTGCGGACCCCCCCCCACAACCGCTCCGCCCTTTGCTTCATTGTCTGACCGGCTCTCCCTCCTCCACCCTGCTCCCTACTCACCCAGGGGACACTCGGGGTAGAAAACCAGACCAGGACAGACTAGGGAAAAACACATAAATCCTGGCGGCTGGCTGTAGAGGGAAGCCAGTCTCCGGACAGGGAGAACCAGCCACGACGCACTCTCCTTGTGCTGGGACAGACCTGAGGAGTTAGGAGTCGACCTGAAGATTTATTTCCCCCACCCTCCCGGGGCCCTGATGGGTTCGCAAAGGCGTTTGAACTGTTAGAACATACGATGCGAATGCAACGTAATGGAGTGGGTGATGGTGGGTGAAAACAAAGACGTGACCCCGGCCACTCTGACCGACTCCCGTTCACACACCTCCTGGCTTCTGAGAGCAAAGCAACAGAATCGCTAAAGGAGACCTGCCGGGAAACGCCTGTGGAGGGACCTGCTTCTACTGTGAAAAGTCAGGTCACCCTAAGAAGGGCCTTTTCCAGTACAGACACGGGCAAGACCAAGGCAGCCCCTCCCGTTAAGGTAACTATGGGCAATACTTTGCCTGTACCTGGTGCCCACCGGTATCCTTTGGGCCTGACTGGCCGGCTGGAGTTAAGCCCGTTCTACAGGATTACCTTAAATCAGCTTATATTCCATGTATGAGCCCCGGAAAGCTATCCTTCCAGTAAAGACACCCAGAGAGTGGAAGGGAGAGGCTGGGTGGGGGGCGGGGAGGGAGAACATCGACTGGTCGCCTCGTGGTCAACTGAGCCTGCAACCGAGGTCGTGCCCTTGGCCCCGAATGGAACCCGGACCCTTCAGTCCGCAGCCCGACGCTGTAACCACTGAGCACGCCTGTTGTCTTTTTGCGTCTCAGGCCGCATACTGTTGGAATGTCAGGGACACTCTTTTCCAGACCCCTCAGGGGACACACCCACCCACCGGAGGGCAGGGCCGCAGAGCCCCTCGTGGTTACCTTGTCCCGGACACCGCCTCCGTGTGCTGCGTCGATTGCCTGCCGTCCTGTTCCCACCTGAGTAAAAGAAGCGCGTGTCTCTGTTTGACTCTTTAATTGATCCCAGAGGTTTCCCGGCTTTGCTTTCTCCCCCCTCCCTAATCGACCACCGGTGGATCGCGTGTGACCCCCTTACGTCTCCCTCTTTGATTCTAATGTATAAAATAAGCTGTAGAACGGTCATTCTCTGGAGCACTTTCTCAATTTGTTGAGATTTTATCTTCCTGGCAATTTTCATCAATTTGGCTCAAATAAACTCATAAAAATTCTCTACCAGTCCGGACATGTCTTACTTCGTATGGAAGCGCCAAGTTGGGAGGGGAGCTGGCTCTGCTCAGGGCAGGACCTGGAGCTTATGCTGTAGGGTCTGGTCCACCTGCCCCAGCGGCGTGTCCTGCTCGGACCCAGTGGGGAGAGGGCAGCCTGGTCCCTCCTGCCCCACACCCTGCTAAGCAGCCACAGGGCTTCGGCCTCCAAGCCCGGGTCTTGTCCACACCCATCGTGCAGGGCAGCTGCCTCTGGCCCTGGGCCCGCTCTGGGCGCCACCCTTCCAGGTCCCTGCGGTGCTCCCGAGTTGGGGAGAAGCCAGCACCCCCGCCCTGGCTGGTGGCTCCGCTGGTTAGAGCACAGTCCCGAGAGGCGAGGCCCTGGCCTCCGGCTCCCGTCGGGGCACCGACGAGAAGGCACGCCGTGAACGCCCAGGCGCGGGGGCAGCCCGCCCAGGCCTCCGCCTCTCTCGCTCCCAAACCAGTAGAACAGGAGAAAGAGAGAACCCCGCACCCCTGACCCAGGAGGCACCTGCTGGGGGCGAAGGCCGCTCCGGAAGGAGAGTCCCCGGGAAAGGGGCCTGAGGGTGCTCCCGCCACAGGGGCTCAGCCTGTGTCAGGGACGCCTGGGTCTCCCGGGGCGCTGGGGGGACAGCGCCCCAGCCCCGCCGGCGGTGGGCACCCCGGTTTCTTGCAGGGAAAAGGAAGTCGGCAGGGCTGCGGGTGCAGGGCGGGGAGAAGGGGCTCCCCAAAGCCGACGTGCCGGGCAGGGCACAGGGAGCTGGACGAGAGGGGGC